TCTAAAAGTTTTGATTGCAAGTTCCACCTTAATAAAAGGTTCAGGCTGTAAATGGCTGCATTGCGTACCCTTCCGAGAACCTTTCGGGCTAGGAGAACCCTACTGCAACCAGCTGCTCCTCCAGCATCCATAGGAACCATCAGCCCTACCTAAGCACAGAGACAAGTCCCAGCCACTACCCAAAGACGCTGCCCCTGCAAACTCCATCCCCTTCACTGCAAAGCAACATAAAGGGGCTAGCTGCCAAAACTAGTTCACAATTAATGCTTTAATGATTTAAGAAAGCTGGCTTCCCTCCAAGCCCAATCTGCTCACACAGTAGCTTTTAGCTGCTGTTTCACACACCACATGGAGTTCCAGCATCACCAGGGAAAGAAACTTACAACCCATGATCCCGTGGCCCCTAACCAAACCACAAAGCAAGCAAGCAAGTTTCTTGGCACAGACACCAGGAAATACATCAGCCTAGTGCTGTTATTAACCCTCTGCTATTGCTAAATTCAGCTAGTCATCTAGCAATTAATGGCAAGGACAACAGGTGAAAGAAAAAAAAAAAGGAAAATAATCAGAATTGTCACTTTATTTTAAATGTAAACAATAGCAATATTAGTACTGAGATACACTTAAAAACTAGTACACTTGCCTTGTAATGGGATAACTTGATAAAAGGCTTACTTGGGAAAAGTTTTACTAATTTCTCTTCATCACAAGGGGCACATGGATTATGAAGACTCGCCCCAAAGTGAAGATTATTCAGCAGCCATATTAAAACACAGCAGCTTCACGGAAGAAGCTCCAACGTAAATATCTCTATGCCAAGCTTCCTTCTTTCCTTCCCTTATACCCTGTTGCTTATTTTCAGGGCAAAGACCAGAGCAGTTTTTGCACCTCCATGGGCGTCTAGTCAAAATCATACTACAGGCAGCCAAATGTTAGCAGTATCTACAGATTTCACGGCAACTTTCAGTGACCCCTGTTCATTATCTCACTTCCTGTGTCCTCCACAAGACTTTCTGAAGAACCTCCCATAGAGAGCAGGCAGAACAGCATGGAAGAGCACTGTTACCTCAAATATAAATCAACGAGGGAAGCTTTAGAAAAATTCCTATTACAGACTTGCAAAATGTGTTTGGTCTTTTTCCAAGTTCATCTTTAAGTTCCTTCCTTTAAGGTCCTTCAATGGAAAGTTCAGTTATTTAAACAGTGGCTTTTACTAATCCATTCTGTATTATTCATACGCTACAGCATTTATTATAGGTTAATGCATTAGAAAATCATGATATTATGCTTTCCATTAAATTGATACTATGGGAATCAGTTGTGATTACCATAATACCTGTCAGACATGACTCTGAGAAGAGAACAGAAAGAACAAGACTCTTTTCATCTGGAGGTTAGGAAGGGAAAACCAAAAAGGACAGGACAGAGAGCACAATTAGTTTTCCCAATTAGTGTTTCAAAAGACTACTTCAGCAAACCTCCAAAGCGGCATAGACAAGGACACAGGCACTACCTGAACTGCCTGTGGAGCACCTCTGTTTCAAACTAGAAAGAGGGTCTCTAAAATATACTCTTGGAAATTCACTT